AGCTCAGAGCCCTCATCACTTTCCGAGGCTCTGGAGGGACTGTGCTCAGCACCTCCTTGGTCTGGAAGCTCATTGGTCTTCGACAGGTTTGTAAATTGGACGCTGTGATTTTTTTGGAATTACAGAAGAGTTCTGGCCATGTGGTATCAGACTGATAACATAACACCGGGAGGTTTGGCTGGTTTTCAACAGGAAAACTGGCCTCTGAAAAGATCAGAGTGAGTAGACTCTCCCAGGGCTATGTGCTTCACCACAGCTGAGACAGGAGAATGGGTGGGTCCGGAGTTATGCCAGATGCGCCAGGTGAATTTAGCAGGTTGGTGAAACAGTACAGCCGACTGCCAATTACAGGAGGTGAGCAGGAGAGAAAAGATCCCTGTGGATCTCCACAGTTTGGCCTCATTTGGCCACCCTATCAGAGTGCCAGGAGGGTGTTGCCTGAGACTGTATCTTTTCCATGAATTTCTGTGGGATAAAAAGTAGTTATTTGAAGTGGTCTTGATGGACTTTTTAAAACAATGTTTCAAACGACCCTTGATTCCAACAATCACAAATCTAATTAGAATTTAGGCTACGGGTGTGTGTTCCATTAGCAATTTTAAAACTATTTCATGTTGGTGGGAATATTATTTCCAATTCGGTTTGCATTGTCTTGGTAATGTGGCACTTCTGTCTTCACAGCCGGGTTTGTTTCCAGGTGCTATTAAGAAGGTCACCAGAGGATAAACAGTTTACCCATCTCTAATTGGTTAAAAAATCTTTGTGTTTTGTCGATCTATGTAACACAGACAAGATACAACACCAAAAAGGGCAAGAAATGTACATTCTTGTTCAAATTCTTGACACAAATATGTAAATTTCCATCCCCAATATTGTCATCCTGATATTTACTTGTTAATGATTTAGAACTTCCCACATAACAACCATGCTGTTATCCAAAGCTGAAATCTTTTATACTTATTTATTTATTTGAGAGACAGGGTCTCACTCTGTTGCCCATCATGCAATGGCACAATCATAGCTCACTGCAGCCTCCAACTCTGGGGTCAAGTGATCCTTCTACCTTAGCCTCCCAAAGTGCTGGATTATAGGCATGAGCCACCGCATGTGGCCCAGGAATCTTCTCTTAACCATATGCTTGATGTTATAAGCTTTACCATTTAAGCAGAGTCTCATGTTTTAAAAATTGTTTAAGTGTAGTTAGTCCGTGGCTTCAAGAATCTAAACATCTCGGCTGGGCACGGTGGCTCATGCCTGTAATCCTAGCACTTTGGGAGGCCAAGGTGGGCAGATCACCTGAGGTCAGGAGTTCGAGACCAGCCTGGCCAACATGACGAAACCCCATCTCTACTAAAAATACAAAAAGTAGTTAGGCATAGTGGTGGGTGCCTGTAATCCCAACTACTTGGGAGGCTGAGGCAGGAGAATTGCTGGAACCTAGTTGGCGGAGGTTGCAGGGAGCTGAGATCACGCCATTTGCATTCCAGCATGGGCAACAGAGCAAGGTTCCTTCCCAAAGGGAAAAAAAAAAAAAAATCTAACCATCTCAAGTAACACCCAAGCATAAAAATTAACCCCTTGCTTTTCCAGTCTGTATATGCCTTGTACAACAGCCCAGTGTGTCGGCAGAGTTGCCAGATTGAGAGTGAAATGTGTCATGTGCAGGTGTCCCTCGATGTGTCGATGTCTAGGAAAAAAAAAAAAAAAAGTCTTTATTCCTTTGTTTTCCGAACAATGGATGGTGGCCAGTATGTTCCTCATTCTAACAGATGATGACAAAGGGGAGGAGGTTGTTCTCTTAAAGAATTCTCCTTCCCTCCCACCATGCACGATGCTGGACAGCTGCGAGCAGAGAGCACTCACGAGAACACAGAGTATTCGCGCTTCCTGGGCGGGAAGCCTGCTCTGCGGTGGCTGTGGCCTCGCAGTCCTGCTGTCTTCCTTGGCTAGGGCATCGACCAGGTCTTTGCTCAGAGGCTGTGGAAGCAGCTGTTGGAGGCAGCACGGCTTCCTCCTCTGTGCTCCTTCCTCGTGTGTCTGCTGCTGTTGGGCATCTCTCTTCACCCCCTGCGTCTGTTTCCAAGTGCATCACAATCACCAGAAGATAGATAGTTTACCCATCTCTGGTTGGTTCAGAAATATTTGTATTTTGTTGGTCTTTGTGACACAGATAAGACACAACACCAAAAAGGACAAGAAATGTCCATTCTTTTTCCACTTCTTGACACAAATATATAAATTTCAACGGTGTCATCCTGAGATTTACTTGTTAATAATTTAGAACTTTTCCCCCGTAACAACCATGCTGTTATCCAAAGCAGAAATCTTTTATTTTATTTTTATTTATTTATTTTAGAGACAGGGCCTCACTCTGTTATCCAGGCTGGAGTGCAGTGGTGCAGTTAGAGCTCACTGCAGCCCCCACCTCTGGACACTTAGCACGGGGCGGGAGGTTGTGCTCTCAAGCTTGTCCTGAGCTCCCAGCGCCTCTATGCCATTGGACATCTGGTTCAGTAGAGTGGCCGGGTCAGGCTGCTGTGCCGTCTTGCTGAAGAGCTTTGCAGATTCCTATGGTCTGGAATCTAGGGCCTCTACCCGCTAGCTTGGCCCTGCCCTCCCGACTCATGCTGTCAGCTCTGCAGAGGGGAAGTTGATCAGGCGTTGCTGTAGGAGCCTTCTCTGCCTCATGGACACTTGCCATCAGGCCACAAGGCTGGCCTTGGAGGGTCCTTGGAGATGCCGTCGCTTCTCATGCCATCTGTGCTCACCTGGCCACTTGGACCAGAGTTCCAGCTCAGGAGGAGCATGCCTCCTAAATCAGAAAGACGTTAACTGTGGTCAGTGGCTCCCTTCTGTCAGTTCTCATAATACAAGAGTCTAAGATACATGCTCTTAGCAGTCACGGCGGACAACCCATTGCCCTGTCATCCAAGGGCAGACCCTCCCTGGCTTTGTAGTTCTGTCTCTCATTTTCCTGCCTCATTGAGGGTCAACATAGCAAAGAAAGGATGTGCAGATTTATTTATTTTGCTCTTGTTTAAAAAAAATAAAAATTAGGCCGGGCACGGTGGCTCAAGCCTGTAATCCCAGCACTTTGGGAGGCCGAGATGGGTGGATCACGAGGTCAAGAGATCGAGACCATCCTGGTCAACATGGTGAAACCCCGTCTCTACTAAAAATACAAAAAATTAGCTGGGCATGGTGGCACGTGCCTGTAATCCCAGCTACTCAGGAGGCTGAGGCAGGAGAATTGCCTGAACCCAGGAAGTGGAGGTTGCGGTGAGCCGAGATCATGCCATTGCACTCCAACCTGGGCAACAAAAGCGAAACTCTGTCTCAAAAAAATAAATAAAGTAAGTAAAAATTGCAAGCATGGTGACTCACACCTGTAATCTCAGCACTTTGGGAGGCCAAGTTAGGCGGATCACGAGGTCAAGAGAGCGAGATCGTCCTGGCCAACATGGTGAAATCTGGTCTCTACTAAATACAAAAATTAGTTGGGTGTGGTGGCGCGTGCCTGTAGTCCCAGCCACTCAGGAGGCTGAGGCAGGAGAATCTCTTGAACCCAGGAGGCGGAGGTTGCAGTGAGCAGAGATTGTGCCACTGTACTCCATCCTTGGTGACAGAGTGAGACTCTGTCTCAAATTAATTAATTAATTAAAATAAAATAAAAATCTGATAGGAAGTGTGGGGCAGTTGGAGACCAAAGTCACTTGTGGGGATTATCTGTGGAGTGCATCCCTTACTGCCATGAGCAGAGACACTTAGCAGTGGTTTGTAGACGTTCCTGTTCTTGCCCAGCACTATATATATATATATATATATATATATATATATATATGTCAACAGGATGAAATAAATTTTTCTGCAAAAGGACTTCCATTTTTCTGCAAAAGAATTTTCCTTTCCAACCAGTGGGCCGCATGCAGCCCAGGACAGCTTTGAATGACACCCAACGCTAATTCGTAAATCTTCTTAAAACATTATGAGATTTGTTGTTGTTGTTGTTGTTGTAATTTTTTATTTCTAACTCATCAGCTATTACTAGTGTCAGTGTATTTTATGTGTGGCCTGGGGAAACCAAAAGATGGGGCAGCCATGTAAACCTAGACTGAAGATGCCCTCACCTTAGCAGACAGTATGTTTGAGTCAAAGGAGCTGGAACAAGGATCAGGTTGACCTGGTTTCAAATCTTAGCTCTTTCCTCTGTAGCTGTGTGATGTGGGATAAGTTACTTAACTTCTCTGAGGCTCATTTTGCTCAGGCGCACATAATGATAGTTGTCAGAGTTTAAAGGATTGCAGTAGAAAACATTTATGAATGACTCACCCAGGACTCACTTGATGGCAGACACTTAATATAAGTTAGGTCTCTTCTGAAAGGAAGTTTGAGTGGATGCCACATTTCTACTGGGTAACATTGGCCAAGTTACCTGACCTCTCATATCTCTGCGTCCTCCCTTGTAATTCAGGAATAATAGTGATCATTCTGCTAGCACTTCTCAAGGATTGTTGGGATGAGTGACTACATCACAAAAGAAGACCTAACTCAGCATCCAACAACTGCCTTCTCAGCTTTAGCTATTTTTATTTTCTCTATCCTTAAAAATTTTCTGGAAAGTCTGTGCTAAAGACACTGCCATCAGATGTGTTTGTGGGCAAAGGAGATCTTACTCAGATTCACTGCCTCGTTTTGTATTTATCTATTCCTTGCACTAACATATACTGAGTGCCAGCTATGCCAGATGCTGCTGGTCACCAGACTGAGTGGGTAGTCAATCCTGGGTGATGGCGATAGGCCAGGAGTCAGGATCAGTATAAACAAGCCCCAAGGCCAGAAACAGGGAGTCAGGATCAGTATAGAACAAGCCTCAAGGCCAGGAACAGGGAGTCGGGATCAGTATAGAACAAGCCCCAAGGCCAGGAACAGCAAACCCAAAACTGTCTTCAGTCTGAGGCGTGTAAATTGTCAGGCTGTGTCTTTTCTCTGTCTTTCTGCAGCTCCTGAAGTCCTCGCCCAGAAACCTTACAGCAAAGCCGTCGACTGCTGGTCCATCGGGGTGATTGCCTATATCTTGTAAGTACTGCCTGCTGCTTTGGCTTCCTCCTCTACCGGCCATTTTTTGTTTGTTTGATGAAATATACATGAAACGATGTACCATTTTTAAGGGTGCAGTTGAAGGGTTCAGTTCAGGGCCATGTTTGAGGCCTCAGCTCACCGGCATTGAGTCCATTCACAGTGTTGCACAACCACCATTGCTATTCACTTCCAGAACTCTTCCATCACCCCACACTGAAACTGCATCCCTTAAATAAAAACTCATTTTTGGCCAGGCGTGGTGGCTCACACCTATAATCCCAGCACTTTGGGAGGCTGAGGTGGGCAGATCATGATGTCAGGAGTTTGAGACCAGCCTCTCTCTACTAATAATACAAAAATTAGCCAGGTGTGGTAGTGCATGTCTATAATCCCAGCTACTCGGGAGGCTGAGGCAGGAGAATCACTTGAACCAGGGAGGCAGAGGTTGCAGTGAACCGAGATCACACCACTGCACTCTAGCCTGGACAACAGAAGCAAAACTTCATCTCAGAAACAACAAAACCCTCTTCTTCCCTTCTCCCCTTCTCCCCTATCCCCCGGGAACCTCTGTACTGCTTACTGTCTCTATGAACTTGACTCTTGTGGGGACCTCATGTAAGTGGAATCACACAGTATCTGTCCTTTTATTTCAGGCTTATTTCACTTAGCAAAACCTTCAAGGCCCATCCATGGTGTAGCATGGGTCAGAATCTCCTTCCTTTTTAAAGCCGAGTAATACTCCGTTGTGTGGATAGACCATGTTTTGTTTATCTTCTTGGTCCATCGATAGACATATGGGTTGTTTCCACATTTTGGTGTCATGAAGAAGGCTTCTGTGAACACGGGTGTAGAAATATCCCTGCACTGAATCCCTGCTGTCACTTCTTTGGGGTTTATATGTAGAAGCGGACTTGCTGGGCCGTGTGGCAGTTCTACATTTAACTCCTGAGGAGCCATCATTCGGTTTTCCGCAGCAGCGGCACCTCCAGTTCACATTCCCAGCGGCAAACACAAGCGTTCCAGTTTCTCTACGTCTACACCAACACTTGTCATTTTAATTCTTTTTGATAATAGCCTCCTAATGGGTATGAAGTGGTATCTCATTGGGCTTCAATTTGCATTTTTCTTATAGCTAATTAAGCCTCTCTTCATACACCACGTTGGCTTTTTGGTGGAGACAAACATCTGTCAGTACATCTCCCAAAGAAATCATGATGAGAAAAAAAGGTCGTGAAAATCTAAATTTCACCTTTGGAGTTCTCATTTCTTCTCAGCTGCTTTATCTCCATAACCCAGGAAACACAATTCTAGGACATGGGCTTGTTAGAATTATTTCAGGATCAGTTCTGTTTCTTGTTTGTTTTATTTGTTTTGCTTAAGTCTAATGTTATTTTTAAATGACAGTTTCTTTTTGAAGTTATACTTTCAAATGCTTATTACGGAACATACTTTCAGGGTAGGCTTAGGCCAGCTTGTTCTGCAGTTGCCAGGCGATGAATTTCCCCGTTTCATCATCCCCAAGGAGGGAACATTTCCTTGCAGAAAGAACCCCCTGCACACCATGAAAGACTGCAGGGGCTGGTGACTGGAGAACGTTCTGGCAGTGTGAGGCATCCTCCTCCTCTCCTCCAGGAATGCTGGAAACATCCCCCCACTCCCCCGCACTGGCTTTGCTGCGTTCTCTGAGAAGCAAATGGCCCTTCTCCACCATTCAGCTGGGCCGCGTTTGTAGTTCAGTGTGGATTTAGATGACGGCGCCTGTACGTTCTTGCCGTTATCACAGGAGAATTTCATCCATTGCAATATACTTGGCCTAAAGGACTCTTGTTTATGGAAATAGGTAAAGGTTAGATCCATCTGAGCTTTAAAACTAACATTGCACTTTCAAAGGACATTGATCCCTTTTGCAGTTTTATCCTTTTGAGGCGTGTTTCAAAAGATGTGTTGAGAACCTAACGAAAGTCATGGACCCTATCCCCAATCAAATCAATTGTGCGCATGCACGCACACACACACACACGCACGCACGCACACACAATTTTGCATACCATTTTCTCGGGATGTGGTCATTGTCCTGGGTAAGCAGACACTGGACATGAGCCCTGTATTATTCACCCTGGCTCTCTAAGTCTTCAATTAAACATCTTACCAGAGGTCCTGCCTCACCCAGCTTGACTATGGAAGGCTTGAAGAAATAAATGGTAGGGCAGGCCTCTTCCTGCAAAGAACTGAAGCTGGTATCAGTCGTCTAGAGAAACATTCCCTGGGGCTGGGGGAAAGTAGCCCTTTTTCTGGCCTTCTGGTTATTTGTTCCTTTATGACTGTCTGAACCTTGAACCATTACTCTGGTCTGCACTAATGTCTGTGGCCACCCTTTGGGTTTGTTTGTGCAGTTATTTCCCTGAACTCATGGCCTTAGGGTAAGGTATTGGTACTGCCATGAGTAGGTACGTATTCATGGATGTTTCTTAGAATGACTGAGAAAAGCAATTAAAGCTGAGCAGTGATGTCCTAGTCAGATCAGGCTGCAACAACAAAATGTCATGTGGTATAAACAACAGGTATTTATTTCTCGTGGTCTGGAGGCTGGAAGTCCAAGATCAAGGTGGCGGCCAATTCATTTCCTGGCAAGGGCTCTTTTCCTGACTTGGAGACAGCCGCCTTCTTGCTGTGTCCTCACGTGTTGTAGAGAAAGTACAGAAGAGCAAGCTCTCTGGTATCTTATCTAAACCAGTCACTGGCAGAGAAAACAGGATCATCACGGTTGGCCAAGCTGACAGCAGGGAGAAGCCCTGAGTGGAAGCATCGTTCTTCTAGTGAAGAAGGAGGCAGGAAATGGGTTGGTAGTAGGCAGCTAACCACATCTGCCATAGACCATAGGTAGGGAGACGTTGGAAAGAGGGCCAGCGTGTCTAGAGGTGGTATCAAGACAGGACATCCGAAGGTGACACAGAAGAAGTTTCCTAGTGCGGGAACAAAGAGAGACTGGGTAGAACATTTGGATTTTAACCCAAGGGCAGTGGGAAGGGTTTTGAACAGTGGTGTGATCCGACCTGACTTACATTCGAATATTATTCCGGCCGTGCTGAAGAAAGTATTGGAAGGACACATGTGGAAGGTGGAGACCGAGTGGAAAGCTTCTAGCGAGAGATGCTTCTCCTGTTGAGGCAGTGATTCTGGGGAGAGTGGTAGAGAGATCGCAGATCTGTTTTGGATGTGGAGGATGAAGGAGGGGGAGGCTTCAAGTCTCAGTCCAAGATTTTGACTTTATACTGTGTTGATGGTTAAGGAAAAAGAGGAATGGTAGAGGAGCAGATTTAGGAGGGTGGGTGAGATCAGTCATTTGGTTTTGGACACGTTAGGCTTGAGACCTTTGGGAGATACCCACAGAGTGGTGTATGAGTGTGTGGAATTCAGGAAAGGTCCGGGATAGAGATACTGGCGTGTGCTTCTGAGTGTGATTTGACGGGCGGTGCACCCAAACCCTTGTGATTTCCACATACACTGAAATATTTGCCACGGTTCAAGTATGGTATTAAGCAAAGACGTGCCATATTTCTTTGAGTATAAATTTGGTAAGTTTCCATTTGATGGTTTCCCGGTCACACTAGCTTTGCCCCAGACTAGTCCCAGATCGATTTCATGACTGTGTCAGACTTCAAGATGGCAGCCTGGGCTTCTGTGTTCCTTGGTGCCTTCCAGAGCTCTGTGAGTCCCAAGCAGAGAATGAATGGACTCGGCATCTCAGTTGTATTCTGTAAGATGTTCAGACTCCTATGGGTGATAGGTCAAATCCTGGCTATGTTTTAGTATATAACAGGGCTGCACTGGGAGAAGCACCAGCTTCGAATTTATTATCAGTAGATTAACCTCCTTACCAATTCACAGGTTTCTCACCACACAGATAGTTGGTATTCTGATGAGAGGCTTCAAGTCTCTGTCATCTTTGTATTTCACACCTAGCATGGTGCCTGGAGTGGAGAAGGTCTTCAAGAAATGCTGATTGTTGACACTAAGAATTTCTGATAGTTTGAGGCTGGGGGTCTGCTCTATGGGGAGGGCCGTGCACAGCTGCAGGAGGTCACAGAATGCAGTGGTCACTGAGGACAGGGACAAGCGCCATCAAGGTGGGTCTAGAAGGTTGGATAAGCAGAGAGGCGAGAGCATCCGACAGGAGACGGGAAGGAGCCAAAGACAGGGTCAGGGTGCCGTAGCCGTGTGAGGGCCCGCAAAGCTATCCTGTGACTGTTTTATAGCCGGGGCTGGGGTCGATGTCAGAGGTTGGCATTGGACTGAAGCAGCATTAGATGCTAGAACTCATGTGTCTCGGTCTCGGACTCTTTCTCCTTCCCGTGGGTCCACCGTGCCTGGTTTCCCATTCCTAACTAAAGATGTATACACAAGGCCACCCAGCAGGCATCACGCCAGGGAGGCCGCCTCCCCACAGGGAAGGCACGGAGCTCCTCATTCTTCCCAGCCTCTGTAATGGAAAAGAGCTCAGCTCCTGCAGTGTTTTGGAGCGCAGCATTCTAGTTTTTGTTTGATAGAACTGTCACGCTGAGCTGTCAGACTGCAGCCACGGTGGCCGTGACAGCCCATGGCACCAAGTTTTCTGCTCTTGCACGCATGCCATGTAAACATTCTTCCTTTAGCTGGTGTGAGCACTTGATAAATTGGCCCTCTTTCGGTCTCCACTTATCTACTGTCCATCATTTGGAAGGAGAAATATTTTTTCCTACCAAGGACACTCATTTTAAAAACCCATGTGATGGGTTCTTATCCTGCCAGGACTCTTCCCTTGGGGATTCGGACTTGCAGAAAACATCTTTGCCCGAATAGCTTACGCTGCCAGGAAGGGCCAAGGACAGCATGGTTTGGGCTTTGTGATAAGCATGTTGGTGTCTGGTGTGACGGACTTGGCTCAGCCAAGACAGCACAAGGTCCAAGACACAAATTTCCTCAGTCAAGATGAACCTCAGCCTCTCACAGATCGATCT